CTCTGACCAGGACAGAGGGGGTGATATCAAATCCCCCACCAGATCACGCTGCCACTGCTCCGCCAAGAAAACCGTGTCTGGAGTGTGACCACTGTCCTGAGTTGGGCCATAGATAGCAGGATAGGCCCACGGCCGCCGTAGTAGCCATGAACTCGAGCTGCCTCCGAGGCCAACCCCAGGGACGGCAGATTAAAGTCCCCCAAGACCACTCGAGGGACCGCCTGTCTCCAATTGTATCTGCCCAGCTAGTTTGATCTGGCAGGGTTGGAACGCTCCAGGTTCCATCCATTAAACAATGCCATCTTTTCAGACCCCAAAGTACACCTTCTATGTAGCAATACCTGCCCTCTAGAATGAGGTCCCCCCCCCGAGATTCGAACAGTCCCCGCCATTCCGGGGTTTTGAAGGGCCCTGAAGATGTGGCTCTTTGCCCAGAGCTTTGACAAGGATGATTGATGCCCTTTTTCTTTCCCTTGTTGCCAATCAGATGTGTCTTCTCTTCCTTTCGTTTGTGCTTCTTGTATTATTTTTAAAATATTTTTAACAATTTGTAAATTGCAGAGTTGCTGGGAGTTGTGTGGCATATACATTTATTATTATTATTATTAAAATGGGACTGATTAAATATAAAGGCCAAATTAAAGACAACAGGTACAGCAACCAGTCTTTAGAACTGAGAGTGAAGACACTGGTGGAGAGCTTCTGCCTTTTAGAACTAACTGTCAACAGTAGGAAATATGCTGTAGACTAGCTTTTATGAAGGCCTTGGAAAATATATTCAGGTGCTTTGATGTATTTGTATCTACCAAGATCATAACTGGGCAGGCAATGGTTTTCCATGTGACACTCTATGGAAGCAAATGCTATGGAAGCAAAAAAGGGATTTTGAAGAAGCAGAATATAGAAGGAAGTTGGGGACAGATCATCCTGGAGAAAACCTGTGTGATTGCTTAGAGTCAACAGCGATCTGAACGCACACAAGCATCAGATAAGAGGCCTTATTTCAGCAACACTACTGCTTCCTTCGATGGTGCACAAGTCCTCTCTCATGCCAGCAGCCCACGATCCGGTTAGCTTAGAACAGAGTCTGAGAAAGAAATCTCTCCGATCGCTATTTTAGTCATTCACCTGTAGTTGTCTTCTCTCCGTTCCCAGAGATCTTCCGTGGACCAGAAGAATGAATGAAAATGCCACTTGACACCCCATCCCCAGATTCTTGAGCTTCTGTGATAGTTCTTAACACTTATTGTGGTGCTTCCTTCCTATTTGTTCTAATAAATCACCATAGTTTTATTGGACAAGTGGCTAATCACTGCTCCAATTTCAAATGCTTCTAAACATACCGTATGTCAAGTTGCTTTCAGACAATAATGCAAATTAGCATTGCAGGTCATTACCACATAGAACTTACTCATTTTCACTTGTTTCTCAAGGCACAGCTAGTTTTTAATTTCTTCTTGTTCTCTTCTTAAGCTCTAAGATTAGTCAAATACACACAGTAGATTTAGAGAAAAAAGTTGTTAGGGACTGCCCCGCTAAGCTCCACTGGCAGACCCCCATTTTTTGCTTAGTGTGTTTTGAGCAATACTCTTAATTTGGCTGTCACTAATTAGAATCCCACTGATTTTCACTGTCCTACAGGTAATCCTCAACTTAAGACCATCCGTTTAGTGACCATTCAAAATCACAATGGCGCTGAAAAAAGTGACTTACAACCGGTCCTCGCACTTACAACCATAGCCTCATGGTCATGTGAGCAAAATTCAGGTGCTTGGCAACTGGCATGTATTTACGATGGTTGCAGCGTCCCAGGATCATGTGATTGCCATTTGCAACCTTCCCAGCCAGCTTCCGACAAGCAAAGTCAATGGGAGAAACCGGATTTGCTTAACATCTATGGCAAAATAAGGTCATAAAATTGGGTGCGGTCACATGCTGCCTTGGTTAACAACTGCACCGCTTAACAATGAATTTCCCAGTCCCTATTGTGGCTGTAAGTCGAGGACTACCTGTATTCCAAGTCTAGATGCATCCCGATAGATTTAAAATGTAATTCAGGTATTATCAGTAAAAATTAACACAGAGGGAACTCAACAGCTTGATCTTTTTATTTTATTGTTTTTTTTAAACAACTTTTTTGGTTTTATTTATTAAACAAACCAGCTTGACCACCTTTTAAAAACTCAACGCTTCCTATTTCAAACTCAGGGGAGCAGATAGGAGAGGAGGCAGGCTCCCAGGCACGCCTCCCCCTACTCCCATAAATAGAAGAGGGAAGAGGCAAGACCTCACATGTTCATATTTATATATATTTACACTCCACACTTTAGAGCAGCTCCCCCCTCAGATCAAAAGAGGCAACACAGCCCCTCCCAGAAAAATAAACTCAGGTGAAACCAAAGGAAATAAGCAAAAATACATTCAGCTGGGAGCCTCCCAAAATCCTGATCCTTGCCCCCCCAAATTACACTCTGAGTATCCCACTAAGAGTCTAATACCCCTAACAGAGGGGACAAATTCAGTGTACCCCCTCCCCACATAAACAGAAAAGGAGTTAAGGAGACACCCCGTCTTTAGGATACATCAACCGAGAGGAGGAATGAGCCCCAGCAAAGAGCCCCCCCAAAATCATTCTGAGGAGAGGATGTCAACCAAATCCAAAGGGGAGGGAGGAGTATTCTGGGCTAGTGGTGGCCAGTGAGATTGGGGTCTTGCTTGTCAGTGTGGGAACGGGTGTCTGGCTCAAGGCGGCGGGCTGGAGCTCCATCCCGTGGTTGAGCTGCCCGTTCCCAGGAGCGGGGGTTCCACCTAAGGACATCTGACTGCGAGGACAAGAAGAGAAGTGGAGGAAAAAGAGGAGGAGATGGTTAAAGCCAACGTTCAGTCTGGTCTGCCATCTCACCCATCATTTGCACTTAGGGAGCCCCAGTCAGCCTTACCTGCTGGTAGAACTCAAAGCGCTGGGCACGAAAGAGGCCACTGTAGCCAGACCCAGGAGATTTGAGCCTGGCACTGAAGCCTCCAGAGAAAGGTCTGCAGGAGAAGAGAAAAAGGCTCAGCCTCGGAAAGAGAGACCCTAGACAGCCTTGACCTGTGCTCTCAGTGGCTTTAGATGTCACTATCAGCCTGTGGTCAGCATGCTCACAAAATGGTTGCTATTGTGGGCATGGCCACTTATAAACCCCCCTCTCCCAGAAGGCTACCTATCCTTGCTCCAATATCTTCTCAAAGATAGTCTCTTCTACCTCATGAGCCATGCTGAGACAAAAGGCACTTTTGCAAACAGTCACTAGAGATTTATGTTTGGCTTTGCAGCATACCAGATCATTGTTTTGTGTTTGTTGATTAAAAAAATATTTACAAAAAAAAAAAAAAATCAGGACCCGGGCAACTGTACATTGGTGCACACCAGGAGAAATGGGACACACTAGCATTCCTGGGCAGCCTGTGGCTTATCCCTGCTCTAATCATTCCCCATCCTGGTTGTATCTGCTCTGAGCACTGAGCCTGGAATCAGAGCAATGACAGCTGGAGTGGAAATAACTGGAAACACACACAGAATTGTCAAGGGTTCGGAACTGACATTTTCATTTAAATTAAGGAAGAAACATTTCTCAAGCTGGCAAAATACTATGCAAAACTCCCTTTCTGAACTGGTTGGGCTCAAGATGGTGCAGCCAAGAGGGTCCTCCCCGCTCGCAGGAACCCTTTTTCAATCCATTTCACCACAAAGAGCTGCAGTTGAGCTGGGATCCACCAGACAACTGCTGTGCTACGCCAAGGTGTAATCAAAGACAAAGCAAACAGAGAAGAACTAGCAACGACACTTGACCCTTTAGGGCTGCTAAAAATTCTCCTTTTGCACCATAATCCACTCCCCCATGTTGGAAAGCTAACAGAGCTTGATCGGGAGAGCTCTTGGGCTAGTAAGGGATAAGATGGAGGAGTCCAAGACATTTGCAAAACTTTACCCAGATGGAAGAGCGGATGGAGTTTGCAATCTTGGGAGTCCAGATAACTTCAACCACAGGTCTTTCCCCCCCAACTTCTCCCACTCTCTTTAAGATCTTCTCTGCCCCACAGAAAGTACTTGCCTGCTCCCAGAAGGGGGTCGGGCACCCACAGACCCTAGACCATTGAGTTTCCGGTAATCTGGCAGCGGTTTCATTTCCAGAGCATGAAGCTGAAGAAGACAAGCATTGTTAGAAGTTGGGAGTGGGGGATCCCTTCTGCTCAGCTGGCCCCATCTTCCCAACCCCTCTTTACCTCATTACGTCCCACTCCGCCATGAGGAAAGGCTCGGATGGCTGGGGACATGAGTCGCCCCGCCAGCCGCCCCGGGGGCCGGAGAGCCCGGGCAGCCACAGGAACCAGAGGCATTGGGGGAGGTGGGGGTGGCGGCGGTGGCGCAGGGGCAGCGGGGGGCGGGAGAGCGGGGGCAGGCAGAGGAACCGGGGGCATGGGGGGAGGTGGGGGTGGCGGCGGTGGCGCAGGGGCAGCGGGGGGTGCTTGTTGCAAAGAGCCAAAGTTCACCACTGGTGGTAACTGGGGTGTCTCCACCACTGGCAGGAGCACCTGGGGAACCAGAAAGAGAGAGGCAGATGTGCATTCAGGGCGCCTGGCCTTCCCAGGAAGAGTCTGGGGATCTCCAGGAGAGGAAGCTCACCCTCCTCACCTGTTGGGCAGGTCCTGTGGCCGTCAGGAAATTGCTCTGGCTGCCTTGCCCCAGCGTGGCTGGGTAGAACTCGGAAGGGGATGCGAGTTCCTGGCGCACCTGTGGAAGAAGGAAGCGCAGGTCAGAGGGCTGACGCCCGGGGCGCCTGGTCCTTGGAGGGCTGGAGAAAAGAACCCTGGACACTTCCTAGAAATACCCTTCTGGAGTGGGCCCAGGCAGCACCCAAAAAGGGTGTGGAGTGGAGAGCTCTGGCTTCTGAGACCATAACCTGAGTTGCCAAGATGATGGGCTGCAGAGCAAGATCAGCTGCACCTCACAGGGAAGGATAGAAATGTGTTGGGGCACCAAAGCACGGTGAGCTTGATCAGGAGGGCTTTAACCTGAATCCAGTGGGAAGTGGAAAAAAAGAATGAACCTCAGATAAAGACACGTGCACTGTAGAAAACTATAGCTGATGGAATGGAGCTCTTCATACCATGCAAGAAGAATCAGCAAGAGCACTGACTTAAAAATGTAATGGCCTTTACTGTCTCATCTAAGCAAGATCGGTTTGAATTTTTAGTCCAGGAAAGCAAATAGCAGGGACTATTAGAAAGGGGCTGCTGAGGGCCTCCGTCCCACATAAAGTGAAAGGGCTGGGGAAGGGCACCTTCCCTTCTGCTACTGATGTTTCCTTATTACCATTTAGCTTTCATTGTTATGACACTGCGGCCGGCCCACAGCCCTTGGAAGGAGAACGGCAGATAAACAGCTGCTGAGCCGAGGTTAGTGGTTGCTAAGAATAGCAAAAAGGACTTCTTGAAGTATAAAATGTGGGATCCCTGGCTTAGTTACAGGATTGGCAAAAAATATACCGAAACAGTAGTTGATTGCAAATTGAATATGAGCCATTATGTGATGTGGCAAAAAAAAAAAAAAAAAACTTCCCTAAAACAAGAGCAGTTCAACACTGGAATTCATGACTCAGACAATGGCAATCTCCTTTACACTGGACAAGCAAAATTCATTGATCTGGGGATGAAACATTCTCTAGGATATATTCAAACCGAGGCCAGACAATAACCCGTCTTGGATGATTTGATTTGGTTCCTGCACTGAACAGAAGGTTGGATCAATTGCAGTAACAGCCCTTCCAATTCTGTGATTTTATGAAATGCTTCCAGCAATACAGAGAAAACAACAACTTGGGCCTTTTTTTCCATTTTGCCCCCTCCCCCAAGCTTGTAACCATATTTGGGTCTTTATCTGGAACAAAACAGGCCAATTTAGTCCCTTACACTGACCAAGACTTCCACACATGGGCCATCCGAAGCCAGATGCGTGGAATCTTCTGCACATCTTCAATAGAAAAGTGAGGAATACCTTTTCCAGAGGACTTAATTCATCTTTCACTTTGCTGTGCTGCCTGGTCTCTATTACCAATTGCCTTTTAAAACATAATGGGGTGCTGAGGGGAGACATTGTATGAATTTCACTGCAGTTGTCGAAAACTTGATTGCTGGAGACTGGAGGAATCTTTTCAGCTAGTGAAGAAAAGCTCTTCCTTTGGTAAGCATTGCAATGTGCTGGTAAGAAGTGGTAATGATCTCAATGCCCGCATACCAAGATATGCCCCCTTTGGGGCAAGCAAGCAGGAATGTCAGGTTTAAAATGCCAGACTGGATCTCCCGGGTCACGCTCCCACTGATCTAGTCACGAGGAACGAGCCTCTGCTGACCTTACCCCGTCGTCAGAGAATGCTTCTGGCAGCACAACCTGGCATGCAAAGGGTTCAAAACTATCACAGAGTTTTTCTTAGCACGAGTGCCTTTGCGACTGGAATAGCCTTTTTCCCCTCCGCACACAGACCGGAAGTTTTGTTTGCTGAAACTTTTTGCTCGACTGCAGGATTGGAAAGCAAATCCGTTTCACATCAGAGCTATAAATGGGGGAAGGCTTTTTCAAATGTTGATTTTTGTTTTATCGCTGTGTCATCTGAGTGCATTTTGTGAGCAGCCCAGACTCTTTGGGGTTAGGAAGCCTATCAGTGGACTGAATGAATAAATAAAACGAAGTTTTGTTTACCGATCAAGAGAACTGGGCAAGCAGCATTTGTAGATGCTAAATTATTTGAAAAGCATCGCATCAAGGAGAAAGTGCTGGCCATAACTCACCTGTGATACAAAACATCTGCTTTGATTGGTACATATTTGGTTTCATAAAGTGCTATTTTGTCCCAATCTGGCCCCCGCTTTGGATTTCCAGTTCACTGTTAAACTGCCTTCAATAACTTCACCTGCTCCCTCCCTGCTCCCTGCCCACCCCACCATCAGCTCGCTGTATAACTTCCCCAGTACCTGAAGCAGGGCCTGTTCAGGAGCCAGCTGGCTTCCACAGAAGGCTGAGCTGTAGATGAAGGAAGGAGGGGGCGCCTGGTACAGCAAGCCCGTGGCTGGAAGTTTGGGCAGGTCGGCCGCCTGCAGGGCTGCTATTTCCACATACTGCCCCTTCAAGGCCACTCCTGAGAGCAAGGCTGAACTCGGCAGCACCGCGCCCGCTGCCGTCTGAGCTGGAGAAGTGGGGGCTGGGCTGGGCTGGAGGTACAGGTGCTGGGACCTAGTGAACAAGAATCTGGCTCTTAAACAGCTGCCTTTGTGACCTGACCCTCCGAGTCCCAAACAAGGAAGGACTGAAACAGAACAGATTGGGGTTCTATCCCCACCCAGGATCGTCTGCTCTTCTGCCGGCCTGTACCTGTACGAGTGCACAGATGGGGTGCTTGGACGGTAGCTGCTGCCACCACTTGCGCTGTGGAGCTGGGACTCGAGTTGGGCGCTGGGGACCTACAGCCAGAGGATGGAAAGGAGGCCATCAGAGGGCGAGGCAGCGGGATTCCGACGCACCTGCCCACCCCCCCGGCCCACTTTTGGTACTCCAGCAGCAGGCGTAATTCAAACTGGTCTGTGCCCAGCGCACAAGCCCCAGCTCCGTTCCAGGAAACCATCTCCCTGTTCTGCCTCCCCCCTGCTGAGATGGCTACCTGGTTCCCATAAAACAGCTCCGGGTACAGTCGTGGCCCCTGGCCCCTCTCACCTGCAGAGAGAAACACCATCAGGCACTAATCTGCTTTAAGGCCGCAAAAGAGTCCCTTCCGTCCCCGAACCAACCCCCCTACCTGAGAACACGGCAGCGTCTGCTGGGAAGCTGTGCAAGCAGGAAGAGGCGGCCGCAGCTGGGGCTCCCGGGAAGGATCGGGGCTCGTAGGAGCGACCGGGAGGCATCTCGGGGGAAGCTCGGTGGCTGGGAGGTGCTGGGGGAAGCAGTTCCCACTCTCTGGGGGCCGAGGCCAGCTGCGGAGAGAGCAGCGGAAAGGCTGCTGAGAGGCCGATGGTCACAGTCCACGTCTCCAGTTCCCTCTGGCACAAACCAACTGCACCCACGTTTATTCCGTCGCTACGTATACTGACCGTTTGAGTCCATGCACAAACCGTTGGCAATACAATTCAAACCACACCTCAGGGAGTGCACTGCAAGTAACTCTGGTGGAGCTCCTCTTATCTCAGACTGCGGCATACAGAGCCACCACCACTTACCCCTTCGGTGAGTGCCTGGTGCAGCTCTTCGTCTGGTTTTGGGCCTTCATTCACAATGAAACGAAGGTCAGCGTCCTGAAAGGGCAGAGTTCCAAGTCAAGATCTGAGCCAAGGATTTCTCGCCCAGAGTTTTCAAAGAAAAGTCTAGGGCAAGCCCTTGGCCTCCGTGTGCAGGTAACTCAGGGACTCCCAGCTTTCATGCTTACCTTATCACTGGCCCCAAACTGGATGGGCGGGCAGGTCCCCGGGGACTCGAGTTGGGGGCTCTGTTCAGACTTCAGAACCCCCAGGCCCTCCGTGCTCTCCTTCGCCTTCTCTGCCCGCTGGGAACGCTCTGTGCCAATAGCGCCAGGGGGAGGGTGGTCCCGGGACAGCGGCTCGGGGGAGCTGCTCACCTGTTGCAAAGGGGAAGTGAAGAAACTCATGAGACAAACTTTTCTAACCTTAGCAGGCAGGTCTGGACCCACGCATCTTGAAGACACCACCTATCCGCTGAATGGGGATAGCTTCTAATCTGGTCAAAGGCCTCACAAGTTATCCAAGAGACACCCAGCTGCCCCTCACTTCAGTTGAAGGTACCATGATCTCCTCTCCTTCCACCTCTGCTGGAAGGATGATGGTGCAACTGGATTCAACCAGGACCAAGACAGGGATTCTGTGAAATTTCTGACGCTCACAGACGTATCACACCTATCTAGTCTGGCAGATTAGCTTTATAAGGTTGTCTCTCTTGAAAACCAAAAGGAGAACCAGAAGTGAATCTTGAAGGGGAGAGCTGGCACACTTAAGAGCCAGATGTAACACAGGATACTTGTAAGTGCTCATTTCAAGTAAATCTGGCAAGTCTTACTTCAGGGCTGCAGATATTTTGTAAAAACAACACACTACCTCCACCATTACACACTAAGCATTGCGTCACTTAATTTTATCAAGAAAGGTATTTCTACACTTTAGAATGCAAAGACAAGCACAAAGAAGTGTGGGGTGATGCCCAGCAATTTGCAAAACTAGAAAAAGTTCCAAGGAGGAATGTGAAGGAGGAGTGATGAATTGAGCACCCCACTGAAAGATCCTATTTAGCTGGATTCCAAGGATCTCGCAACAGTGAATCACGTCCTCATTACTTGACTAGATTACTGCAACGGAGCTGCCATTGAAGGTCACCCAGAAAATGTAATAGGTGCAACATGCAGCAGCCTGGTTATACCTTTGCTTCAGGCCCTATATTGTTTATCAAAAGAGAGGTTTCCGAGCGCAATACAAAGTGCTGGCTTTGACCTATAAGGCTCCATGTAGCTTGGCACCTAAGTACCTGCAGGACTGCCTTGTCTTATCACAGCACCTAAAGTAGCAGAGGAAGAACATTTGGATTCAAAGGTTGAGCCCTAAGTGGGGCCAACTAGCAAGGGAGAAGAGTGGAAATAGCAGCAGAGAAGAGTGTCTTCCAAGCCCAATAAGCATAGCCTAATTGATCATGTCAGAAGAACAGAGATTAAGACTTAGATGGCAGAATGCAAACAAATATAACCCTTGTCAGAAGTTATTAAGATCACTGATACGCCAGAGGCAGAATAGACAGTGAAGTATCAGAGGTTTTCAGCTACCCAAGAATAAATGTTGTACCTTCTTGTCCTTGAGTAAACCGGAGTCTCTAGTTGGTGGTGGCCTCCTCCTTTGTTCTTTAGTGTCTGTTCCTTCTGGATCAGTGGCCATGGTGTCATCCTTACTTTTGCCAATGGCTCCACCCCGTTTGGTGGCAGCATCTGGTGTGGCTTTCAGACCCCCATCAGGAGAGCTGCGTTGACTACAGGTGGCCGAGGAGACCTGAGAGTCGCTACTGAGGTCCACACCACTGTCAGACAGGCTCATCTGAAAGAGGGGCCAATGGGATTCAGCTAGGAGAGTTAAGGATTAAAAGAAAGCCAAGACAAAGTCCTCCTCACCTGTCAACATCAGTTCTGCTCTCTCATGGATATGCTTCCCCACCCCTTCAGCAGAGATTTACCCAGCTCTCACCTCTGTACTTGCAACCTCTTCAAATGCATTCAGTGGGTCAATCCATGGTTCTACGGAGGCAGGACGGTAGCTTTTGCGGGAGGAGTCTGATTGGATTAAACAGAGGGGCAACTGGGTGAGGCTTTTCTACTACAACTTCTAAGGAGGCCTCCAAGGCTCACCCTACCCAAGTTTAAGACTTGTTCCAGTTCATAAGAAGAATTTATTTATTTTCAACCCACATGAACATTGCCATATATGTGATGCCCAGAGGCTGCAGACACTCCCTGACTCTTCTGTGCCAAACACCTATCCAGGATTTTCAAAGAATAGCTGCTTTCTGAATTAAATAAAAAAGCATCTATACAGAGACATCTCTAACTGGTATGAACAAGTCTGCCAAAGCTGCCTCTGTACCCTGACCACCAGGGACACCCTCCCTTCCCTTCCCTTCCCTTCCCTTCCCTCCCCTCCCCTCCCCTCCCTCCTCCGACCGACCAACCAACCTGGATGCTGCCAGACTCCAACATTCTATGACAGCTCAAGTAACTTACTAGAATTCAGATGGTTCCAGATCTGCGGGGCTAGCCCTTCTGACACTGGGACACTCCTGCTGAGAGGCTCCCCTGGAGTCTCTTCTTTGGAGGGTGCAAAACCTGGGCCACTGGGAAAGCTCAGAGGCTCCTGAGAAAGGTGGGGAAAGGTAGCAAAGTTATCTGTAAGGGGTTAAACCAAACACAGGCAGTTCCTGGGTTAAGAATGTCCGACTTACCAACAACTCACACTTCTGAAAGGGCTGCCTATTGCTGAAAATGGCAGACAGCATTCTCATTCCTCAAGCTGATGAAGTGCTAAAGCCACGCAATGTTTTCATGAACTGCCGAAGCTGTGCATTTTTAATATACAGCCTGTTTTCAGAGGTTCATGGAAACACTGCGCGGCTTCAGTGGTTCGTTGGCTCGAGGAAGGAGAACGCCATCCGCCATTTTTAGTAATAGGCAGCCCGTTCATAAGTGTGAGTTCCTACTTACATACAAATTTGAGTTAAGGACAGACTTAGGAATGGAACTCGTTCTTAACCTGGCGGCTGCCTGTATTCATCTCTTTTCCTCAACTTTGCACTAGGATGAGAATAATCTACTTACCTGCTGTAGCAGATCTTGCTTGCGAGGCCGTTCTCGGCGTTTTGTACCAAAGCCACTTACTGTGCCAGATTCCTTCAGAGGAGCACTGCTGGAACGGAGAAGCTGGTTCTTGTCCAGGAAGCAGGAATCTGAATGGGGAGAAGCAGAAAGCATTTGGATTCCAATGAAACTGGACAGAATCAGGCAAAGACATTACAAAGATTACAAAAACTCTACAGAGATAGTCCCTGGGTTAAGAATGTCCAGTTTACAGACAACTCATAGTTAAGAACAGAGCCTACTGTAGCAAAATTCAAGTTAAATGCACAATGATTTGAGTTAAATACACGACGTTTTGAGTTCATTACACAATACTACTTACACAGTATTATACAATAATACTGTTCCAGCTTACATACAAATTTGACTTAAAGACAGACCTTGGGAACGGAACTGGGGACTATCTGTAACCTGAATTCTGTCTCTCTCTGGAAGCCCATAGATCTTACGCTTCCAAGATTAGAAGCACTTGGTGGCAATGCAGCAGATAGGACAATAATCCATTCCAGAGCCCATTATTGGTAATCTGCAAAACCAAGCTTGCATTGTGCCTTGGGGAAACTAGGTCTGCCATAAAAAAACTCATGAACTTCTAGAAAATTTACTGTCAAAGGAGGAAAAAAATGGGAACTCCAAAATATTATAGTTTTCCTGGCAAGTTCAATTTGAAAGTTAAAAAATATACAGCTAGCAATCTTTGAATTGTTCTTTAATTTTAATGCCTACCGTGAACATTTCAAGTTATTTTTCTTTACGCAGGGTAAAGTCTCATCGGATTGCAGTGGGATACCAGTATATTAAACAAACAAATGGCTTTTCCTCCCCACCCCATAAGCTGAGCTTCCACTCACAATTCCAGTGCAAACCAGTGTTCTTGCTAACTAGCAAATTATAGGATGAAAGTTTTTAGAGCCCTGGCCTAAAAGAGCCCCACGTTACCTGTACTACTGCCACTCCTATTCTCAAAGCACCCCAACGGGAGCCCAGAAGCACTCCCACTTCCAGGCCCCAGGAAGGACGGCTGAGCCGGGCCAGGGGAGGCGGGTTTTGTGTGGCGGCTGCCCAGTTCAGCTAGAGCCTGCTGGATGCCAGCTGGGTCACTGTGAATGACGCGATCCAAGCGATACACTGTACTGGTAGTAGGAGCAGGAGGTAGGCTCAGGCCTGGAGAGTGATCGTCGGTGTTCCGGCTGGAGGGGAGCAAATGGTGATCAATGGAAGCGTTACAAAACAGAAGACGGCAAGGGAGGAGCAGGCGATTATTTCTCCTCCCTCTGTCCACTGTAGGTCACCCTCAAATTCCCTCCCTTTCATTCTGGGCTGAAGGCTTTTCTTTCTACGCCTGTGATTGATCAGCCCACTGCTCATTTCTCACTCTGTGGGTCTTGACTCAAGAAAGGGACTCGCTCTTGATCCAGCTTTTCAGCCAAAGGATTTCATTAACACCAACAACAGGATACCTGACAAACTGGCAAACAGCTCAGGGTTCAATGATAAATTCCTAGAAAGGGGACCAGGGAGCCCCAGAAGGACTACTTTGGACATTCAAGGAGAATTTGGGGGCTCTTGCTGAAGGCACTCTTGAGGACTACCTGGTTACAGTCAGCTTTGGCCAAGATGGTTGTACTGGAATTCAACCAAGGTGGAAAGTGGTTTGAGGACCATGTTCCATAGATACATTCCTAAGCAGAGCCAATGCGTTCAGAAGCAGCTGCTTGAACTGGACATGAATTAGTGTGTGATATTTCAGCTACCAGGAATAACCAGGCATAGTATGTAAGGCTGTCTACAAAAGAACCCGCTTACATTTATTGTGGGAAGACTGGGTCAGGGGACACAGGTGGAATGTTGAGAGCGTATCTGAACGCTCTTCGTTTTTGCTCCTAAGAGGAGGAGGTGCATTTCCCACATGGTTTGAGGCTCAGTAATCTTATTTTTTATTTCTTTGCATTGACTGACATGTTACAAGTTAAAGTTTTTATCCTTGTACACCACAGGACTTTTTAAACAGTAGTACAGGAAGTACAAACAAAAATTACAACTATAGCTTAGGTGACTGGGACACACTACTAACCATTACTGATGGCCCTTTCACCAACCCGTGAATCAACCCTTAGCCTGGCACATTGGACTGCTACTCCCATCGTTCCTGGCCAGGACAACCATGCTGCGTGGTGGTAATGAGAATTGTACCCCAACAAGACTGGAGGACAGCAGTATGGTTGGAGGTGATGGAGGCTTATGCTAGCCTAAGTCAACCTGAACATTTTAATCACGAAATCATTCCCCTTGCCAAGAATTCCATGCTTTGTTTTTGGCTCTCTTCTCACCTGCATCACTTAATGCAGGATTTGCCTCCCACCCACCCCTCTCGACGGCTGCCCCAAGAACTTGCCTGCGATTCTTGGGCGAGGGCCAGCTTCTTTTATCCCCTCCACTGCGACCGCTGCCACTCCCTCCACGGCTGGCTTTGCCTCCTCCCCCGGAGCCAGGGTTGGAGCGCCGGTTCTGTCGGTCCATGCCAGGTCGTTGGCTGGAGAAGCTGCGTTTGGACATTTCCTTCCTCTGGGCTAAACTGAGCTCATTGCTAGAGGGACGCCCCCCAACAGAGGGCACGCCAGAACAGCTGCCTTTCAGGAAGGCAGTGGGGGGAGGTCCGCCAGGTGCCGGCTCTTTTTCCCCACAACCACGGCGCTCTGTGAAGTCACTGCTCTCCGAAGCAGTCTCCCATTCCTCATTTGCCTGGTCAGAGTTCTGGTTGGATAAGTCCGGAGACTTTGTGCCAGCCGCTCTTCGGGCAGTCGATTCCTCTGGGAGGGGAACAGAAGGTGCTGGGGAGAAAGGCTGACCTGCCCTCTGTTCACCATTGAGTCGGGCGGCATTCTCGCGCTCCTGTTTCAGCCTCCGGAATCGAGGTGGCTTGTCCTGTTGCTGAGAACGGCCGTGGCGCCGTCGCCGAGGTGGTCGGTCAAAGCCACGATCGGAGCTGGGGCCAAGGGGAGGTTGTTTTGGGGGGCCTTGAAAACCACCAGTATCTTCTGGGGCTACCGCTGGAGGTCCCGATGGTGCCTTTTCTTTCACTGAAGATTCCAGAACTACTTCTTGTTGCTTTTCAGGTTTCTTGTTGGGCTGGGGCTTGGATGGAGGGCTCCATCCACCAGGGGGCGCCCGGCCCCCTCCTCGGCCACGACGAGAGGGTACACCCCGGGGAGTGAACACACGCCCGCTACGGGTTCCTGGATCTGAGAGGCGTGGGGGCATCTTGTCAGCAAATCGAGGCAAGCCAGGGTGCTGGGAAGAGGGTGCTGCTGTAGAAGTCATTGGGGCACCTCGGTTGCGCTGGCTAGGGGCTGGTTCTTTGGTCATCTCCTTGTCTGAATGGGCCACATCGCTGGCACTCTCATGGGTCTCACTCCCTGTCTCAGACCCCCGTTGACGTCGTCGTTTTGGGATCTCTTCATACTCCGAGCCTTCACTCCGTGTCTCGCTGGTGTTGCGAGGGCGGAAATTGGAGCCAGGCCCTGCAGATTTACCAACCCCGTCATCCAGTCGATAGAAGGGCTCGCGGTAGCTACGGAACTCTCGGCTTCTTCCCCGGCCACCTCGGCCACGGCCGCTGTAAGCACCTCGGAAACCTCGCCCTCGGGCAAAATACTCTCCTCGCCCCCTTGCCCGGCCACGGCCAGCGTAGCCACCACGCTCATAAGGGCCTTCTCGCCGCCGGCGGTTTGGTGACAGTGTGCCCTGCTGCTGCTGCTGCTGCTGCTGCTGTTCTTTGGGTGGCATCACTGTTCCACCATTGACCACTGGCTTGGCTTTATTCTCCTTGCCGGGTTTTGGAGATTCTTTTGATGGGTCTGGCTTACTACTCACTGCCTCTCCACCTTCCTTGGCCTTTCCTCCAGCACGCATGTCCTCGCCTTCATCTTTTATCTCCTTAGGGGGAGGTGGTTTCTTAATGGGTCCAGCTCGGCGCGGAGCCTTGTCTCCAGAAATTTCTTCAATTCTCCTGCTGCTGCCAGGACGGGGACCCCAACGTGTCTCTGTTTTGGACTCGCGCCGTGGCTGCTTATGGAATTCATGCTGCTGCCGGGGTGGCTTCTCCACCCGCCGTAGTAGATCCTCTTTGATCAGCGGCTCCTCTTTTGGCTGTTCAGAGGGAGGCTTTTTAGCTACTACTGGACGAATGCCTAGAGGCTCCACTGATTTGATCTCTTCTGGGAGATCGCGATGGAGCAACTGTGGTTCCTCTTCACTTTTGCGAGATGGCTGGGTTTGGGGCTCAGGTCGTCCATTTCTGTTTACTTCTGCCGGGGCTGCCAGAGGCAGGCTAGCTTGCCAGGGTCCTCCTGGCCGTGGTGGCTCATCCATTGGGAAGCGGTGCAACGGTGCAGGATTGCCATTTTCTGAGAAACCCTGGTAGTTCCCCAGGTATGGTTGAGGGGTGACAGCATCACGTAGGCGAACAGGAGGCGTCTCACTGCTGAAAAGGACGTCAAGTGTATCTTTTACTACAGAAGTCAACCAGAGACCCCAACAGTGCCATCTGCCTTCCTCTGTCTCCTCACCAACTCTTCAGTTTCGTACAAGAGGCATAAGGAAGAGCAGATTCTGAGGCAGCGGAGATTCAAAAGCTGATGTCTTTGGGGATGAGGCATATAAACTTGGCTCCCCTTCATCATTCAACAGGACCACATTTGCTGATGTGGTTCCAATAAGAAAAACAGACCCATTAGATCGAGACGGGGCTATTCGTTTACCCTTCTTCTCATTCCCGCATCCAAGCAGCCCAAAAATCTTCTAAAGGTTCCTCACCTTAAGCCTTTCTCCTCTTCATCCTGCTGCCGAAGAGATGCTGCCGGAGGCCGTGAGTCAACACTAGAGGGGGCACTGGGGAAGACATCTCCAGCCCAGGCGAGCTTGGGATCAACAGGCGGGGTGCCACGCTCTCGAAGGATGGGAGGATGGCGGTCAAACTGCTCTGAGTTTGAGCCCCCACTGTCTGATCGCTCACGGGGCAGAAGACCTGAGGGAGAGAAAGAAGGGCAGCACACATCCAGAAATCAGATCTAACTCCCTGTGCAGTCTTCTAAATCCATCTCCCATTGGGTTAGCTGATGAGCTTAGCTACAAATTGGTACAGTAATACCTCAGTTCATGAACGCTTCTGTTCACGAACAATTCAGTTCACGAACAGCACTGTTTGCAAAATTTTGCTTCCGTTCGCGAACTCTGCATCGGGTGACAAACATGACCCGTGGCCATTTTCCCTGCTGTGACATGTGGTCGTGGCTTCCTGTAGGGAGGGGGACTCTCCCCCCAAACAATACCCACCTCCCCACCCGCCTTCCTGTCTTCCACGCCAGAAGTTGCCTCAAGCAAGGTTAGT